GTTTCACTGTGGTGGGGTTGTTGTGATTAACGCATTATACTTGTTGAAACGTGTGCGCCGCAGTCAAAAAGTCAAACAACGTCAAAAAGCACACGAAGGTCAAAAACGAGCGGCAGAAAAAATGATTGAAAATACCGGGAAGAACCTAAAATCGGTCACAGTTGGAAATTTTGTTCTATTAAATGTGCCGAAAGTCGACCGTGGCCCTTTAGACGCACCAAATTTAATTGGAAAAATTCTTAAAATTAATAATGATGTTTATCAGATAGGAACAAAGAGTGGAATTATCAAAACATGGTTTTCTAGAAGTGACTTCCAAATTTCTGGCGCACAATTTGTTGAAGATATCCCCGAAGAATATATATCTGTTCGTCAAGCTGTAGCAAATGAGTCAATGTTTGGAGGTCAAGGCTATAATACCTGTAAGTGTACAGTGTCAAAAACCCAATGCCAAACAAAAAAGTGCGTGTGCAGGAAAGCAAAGCAAATGTGTTCATCAAAATGCCATAAGAGTTTACCATGTGGAAATAAGTGAAAATAAAATTAGTGTTAATTAATAAAACACAAGTTTAAAAAAGTTTTTGTTAATTTAATTTTCTTTATATTATTATTGTATTATATGTTCTATTTTAACATTGATCTGAATGATCTGTTTAGTTAATATGTGATAAATGTTTATCAATAAAAACTTGTTCATCAAAAATTGTCGTTTTTCAACTTTCTTGCATAAAATAACCTATAATTAGTTCAAATACTTCAAGAATACTTTAAGGTCAGGTAATTTTCTCGGTATAATTTTAGTGAACTTATATTAGCCTAGGTTTATTGCAATAAGACTAGAAACCACCAGGTGCTCACTTTCTAATTAGCCTAACTGTATGTGCGCTTATTATAATAAGCCTAAGAAATTTTAGGCCGATTAAAAAATGTGAGATAATTTTCCAATTTGCCAGGCACATTGCAAAATGACGGCGCTTATTGTAATAAGCCGGATTTTGTAATTTGCCTACGACATATACATATTTATTTCCAACAATAATAACTACTTTGTTCTCTTATATATATATATTTTTTGATCGATTTCAGCAATTTAAATTTGAATACGACGCGCTAAAATCGAGTTTTGAACACCTGGCGCCAACTAATTACGGTATTCAAACGAGTACGAAGACGAGCACGGACATAAATCGTCGTTTCCACCGGAAGCGTCTACCACCCCCTTGGACTCTTTTTCGTCCAT